ATGATGATGATGATGATGATGATGATGATGATGATGATGATGATGATGATGATAGTAATGGTAATAATTTTATAGTAATAATAGTAATCTTCATGATAAGATGTTAGTATTCGTAGTAAAAATATTAATTCGGGTCAGAAACTGAATGCTCTATCTAGTCTGTCAAAATCGTAAGAACAGTCGGAGTCGTTATCAAGATATTCAAAGTGTTGCTTTCGAAAAGGCTTGACATAACTATAGTGAAACTCAAACTTTTGTACGTCAAATTTCTCAAAAATGAGAACTGAGCGGAGAGAACTATGTAATTCTAGGGTAGCGAAAGATCCTCGGATTGAGTGTCTTGCTCTTTTATTGTACAGCTAGTTGTTCGGACAGCACTTCTTTATTGTCAGAACAAGTATCACTGCTGTGCATTCTTTTGCAAAACTGGAAAAATACCAAGAAGCAAGAAGCTACGCCAGGCTAGAGAAAAGTAGAAAGTGTTTGTTCGTAGCCTTTGCCTGATGCAGGGTGAGAAAGGCAATGGTGATGATAGGTCAAAATGAAGATGCTTCTTTGGGAAGAACACTTAGGTGTGAGAGAGAGAGAGTGTGTGTGTGTGTGTGTGTGTGTGTGCGTGTGTGTGTGTGTGTATTTGGGGTTTTTTTCATTTGGGGACGCGCAAAAGACCGCGTATATGTTCCACCGCTACCCGCTAACCTCGATGACCTTAAACATGGAATAACAGCGATCAACTCAGCGGACCGCGATAAGCTGAAACGTGTTTGTGGTGAATTCTCTTACCGCATTGGTGTTGTCCGTGAAGTTGGCGGTGCTCATGGCCACTTGTGACACTTGTAAGATAAGAAATAAAAGTTGGTGACTTTGTTTGAAGTTTCTATTGCTTTTCCTTATAGACTAAGACTATGTCGCGCACGGCAGTCGCCAGCGATACGCTGCGAGGTGTGTATTCTTTTGCGTGCCCGCAGCGCACGCCATGTAGGCTACGTTGCCACTCTTTGGCTAGGTATTTTGCCCAATGGAGATGCTTAAGACCTGTTACACATCAAGTCTGTTGCGCGCGACCAGGTCTCGATCGCAGACGACAGTCGCACGAGGTAAGACGCCGCGTAGCGTTTTAGGAGACATACTCTAGGGAGACGGGTTCTTTTATAAACTTACTTGGTTGATCTTGGAGCTGCAAGGACCGCGCGCGACGCGACGTAAGGAGACGCACCCTTATTAAAGTACTGCGTATTGAAATCGGTTCATGACTTTTCAATCACCCTGATATAAAAGACCAGTATACAGTATAACACGGTTAGTTCAAATTCGTCGGGACCGGCCTCGGTAGTTCGAGGGATCCGTAGTTCGAGAGGCATCTTACAAAGACAAAGAAGGAAAAAAAAGGGACCACAGGCACAGTTCGACGGACTCGTGATTTCGAGTCTTCTGTGTTCGACCTATCCGTGTTATTCTGTAATAATATAGAAGACCAAAAATTCTAACCGAGATCCGCAAGAAGGTGACTTTGATCTCGGCTATGGCCTGTATGGCGTAGGGCACGAACACTGTGAGCGGGATTCTCATGGAGTAGAAGAGGCCCACGGCCGTGTAGACCACGTGCACCGCCAGCATTTCGCCGCGCGTCAACATGACGCAGACGATCACCGCCAGCATACACATGTGGAGGGCGATGAAGAACGGCAGGAAGAAGACGGCCTTCAGTTTCCACACGAAGCGGAGTCGCTGTATCTCCAGGCTGAAACCATTGGGGGAGGGGGTGAGTGG